CTCCTCCTCCTCCTCCTCCTCCTCCTCCTCCTCCTCCTCCTCCTCCTCCTCCTCCTCCTCCTCCTCCTCCTCCTCCTCCTCCTCCTCCTCCGTCTCTCCTCCTCCTCCTCCTCCTCCTCCTCCTCCTCCTCCTCCTCCTGCACCTCCTCCTGCTCCTCCTCCCCCTCCCCCTCCTCCTCCCGCTGTGGTGCGGGCCGCGTGGTGCAGAGGCTATCTGGTGCGGGCCGCGCGGTGCACGTCGGCCTGCGCAGCCCACGCGGTGGTGCAGCCCACGCGGTGCCCCCCAGCGCGGGGGCGCCCACGGGGCGCCCACCGGGCGGGCACCGGGCGAAAACCTCGGCAGGCCCCCCCAGCGCGGGGGCGCCCACGCGGCGCCCGCGGGAGGGGGGCAGCAGGCGAGCCCCAGCCGAACCCCCCTGGGAGTAGCCAAGCCAGCACGTGCACTCGACCAGGACGGCAAGGAGGCGCGGGAAGGATGCAGAGGGCCTGGGAACGCCATGTGGACGTCTTCCGTGCGGAGCGCAGCAGGATGCCCAGGTGTGCCGAGTACCGCAGGGGCAAGGATGCACGGGCAGCCTTGGAAAAGTGCCCCGTCCTTGCCATCATGGTTGACTGTAAGAAAGAAACTTGAGAATCCCAAAATGCAAGCATTTTTTGGGGAGCATGTCCATGTGGGTGGATCTCTGTATATATATATATAGAGATCATGAATATATATATATATATATAGGAGAGAGAGAGAGAGAGAGAGGCAAGTGGTGGAACTCAACCGCCACTGGTTCCTCTTAAAGGCCCCCTCCCTCTCTCTTTCTCTCTCTCTCTCTCTCTCTCTTTCTCTGTCTCCTTCTCTTTCTCGTCGTTCTCATCCTCATCATCCATTTGCGTCTCTGTTTTTGTATGTTGTTTTGTTGTTCTCTCTCTCTCTCTCTCCAACTGTCTCTCTGCCCCCCCCCCCCCGAGGAAACGGACGCTCTCTCTCTCTCTCTCTCTCTCTTTCTCCCCTCTCTCTCTACGTATATATCGATCACTGTCCACTAGAATCCGGCGAGGCGCGAGTCCATGGCCTCCTTCTTCGACTTCGGAATGGTTTCGAAAGCGCGGCAGCTGCTAGGATCTCGCCGCCTCTGTGCCAGGATCCGCAATGCCACAGCAAATTCCTCATGGACGACCTCACACTGGCTACAGCACGGGTAAGATCTCCACTGACGGTTCCCTGTCATGGGGGGTATGCGCCATTATTGAAGGGGCCCCAGGACACGCAAATAAATACACACAAATAAAATATTCCCCATATTTTCCTATATTTTCTGGGTTTTTGTCTTCCCCCCCACTTCCCATATTTTCCAATATTTTCCTGGGGATCGACGATTAATTGTGTCTGTGTGTTTTTTTTCCCTCCTGAATTATGGACAGGCACAGTCACAGTCACAGCTGCCATCGCCCCGAGAGGGGGCGCACGCTGGCCCTCGAGCGAGGACCTGCCGTTCACCGTGTGGGGAATAAGCGACGCGTGGCAGCTCGGCGAAGCAAAGACGCGCAACATCTAACGCCAGGAGAGAGAGTGATATATTCCTGAAATACACCCTGCGAAATGCTTAAGAAATCATGGGTTAAGAAATTCATAGTCTCAGAACTTGAATAAAGGCCCAACATGTCTATCAAAATCTTAGGATTTACATTGAAACATTAAGAATAATCGAGACTCTGGCCGAAAACTTGGGTTTTCTTAAGCATCGCCTAAGGTGTAGGTGCTGCCACGATCATGATTGCGCGCGGTTTCCTGCCAGGAGGGCAAGCCTTGGAATTCCGCAGAACGGCAAGAAAATCATCCTCCCATCTAAAGAAAAACGGCCTGGTGTTACTCCTCAGGGGCCTCGTTCGCGATGTCTGGGTCTGGAATGTGAGATCCCCTGCTTTGAGCTGTTTGCCAGACATCTTTTTCTTTCCGGCACGTTGCACGCTGCATTTGTCTGCGTCCATTTTTACGACCATCGATTGTCCTCTACGGAGAGGTGGTAGCCTTTGTTGACGAAGGCCAGTTCTCGCATGCGGCTGCCGCCCTGAGCGCAAGCATGCGGAGATCTGGGCGCAGATCTGGCACTGCACCCACGAGCTGGGTGGCATCGAGCCGCGCGAAGTGCAGGTGAAGAAAGTTACAGTCCATGCGACGGTTGCACAAAGAGTTGCCATGGGTCGCAAGCTATTTTGGCGACAACGAATGGCCGACAAATACGCGAAGCTCGAAGCTGCCATGCTCGGAATGGTGCCAACTGGCGCACGTAAAGATATCCGTCGACCCTGCCGGCGTGTGTGAGACGTTTTCGTCCGCGGAGTCGCCGCCATCCCTCCTGCAGCAATCCACTCCAGCCACTATGCCACATAACATCGTTGACATGGAGGTGAAGGCGAAGCAATCCACTCCAGCCAATACGCCACAGAACATCGTTCACATGGAGGTGAAGGCGAAGCCCTTCCCTTGGATCCCTTCCTGGGGCGGGGGGGGTCCCGGGGGGGTCCCGGGGGGTGGTCCCCGGAAGTGGTCCCGGTACCGGGGTTTGGTCCCGGGGGGGGTCCTGGGGGATGGTCCCGGGGGGGGATCCTGGGGGTAATGCGATTGTTTCTTTACCAGGGCCCCCACTCCAACAGCTCCCCCTCCTTCTCCGAGGTGAAGGGGAATCCCTTCCCTTAGATCCCTTCCCGGAACGGGGGGGTGGGGTCCCGGGAGGAGGTCCAGGGGGGTGGTCCCGGGGGCTGGTCCCGGGGGGTGGTCCCGGGGGGGTCCCCAGGTAATGTGATTGTTTCTTTACTAGGGCCCCCACTCCAACAACTCCCCCTCCTTCTCCTTATCTCCTCCCCCTCCCCGGCGCAAAGTATCTGGGAATGGCCACTGAAGGAGGAGGAAGAGGAGAGAGGAGGAGGAGGAGGAGGAGGAGGAGGAGGAGGAGGAGGAGCAGGAGGAGCAGTAGGAAAAGCAGCAAAGGTTCCTCCTCCTCCTCCTCCTCCTTGTCCTCCACCCCTCCTCCCCCTCGTCTTCCTTACCTCCTCCTCCTCCTCCTCCTCCTCCTCCCTCCTCCTCCTCCTCCTCCTCCTCCTCCTCCTCCTCCTCCTCCTCCTCCTCCTCCTCCTCTTCCTCCTTTTCGTCCTCCTGTTTCTCCTCCTACCGGTCGTCGATGCGCTTCAGGGTCGGCGGCATCGGCCGTCAGGCCCTCTCAATGCCGGATTGTGTCAGACATGCTCGAATGTGCCGCTGTTCGAGTCATGCCTGCGCCGCGATGCCTTCGACACGCGACTGTCTGAGCCCAGTATCTCAGCGGCCGCGGGGAAGCGTGCGGAGGCGCAGGATGACGACGACGTGCCCGTTCGCCGCCCCGCCAGGCGGCGCGCGCCGGGGCCCCGGCAGCGCGAACAGCTGCCTGCCAAAGTGGGCGCCAGGTGGCGCTGCTCGGCAGCCAGGGAACGATACGTGTCTGTCGACGGTGCGCGTGCGTGGCGCAGACGCGATGGGCGGCGCTCCAGCGCAGGCAGGCGAAGGACGAAGGAGCTGCGCGGGCTGTCCGGGAGCCTCAACGAGTTGTGGCCAGGGCTGCACCCCCCGACCGCGGTGCCGACCTAAGTCCACGGCGGGCTGCCCAGCTGTGCGGCGGTTTCGTTTGAACCCGCGAGAGTCGGTACCACTGGTGTTGCTGCCCTCCGATAGCGCCTGCAGTTTCAGGGAAGTCTAGGAAAATAAGTTTCTCTGTCTCTCTCTCTCTCTCTCTCTCATGCTTGCTGTTGTTGCTTCTCTCTACATATATTCCACATACACGCACACGACACACTGGAAAAGCTGAATCCAAACAATTTGACACGCCTTCGGGGTCGGGGCTCATGGTCTCATTTCGTTGGCGTCCAGGCATTCCGCCGCGGCTTCCACAGGCGGAGGCGCCCGCGTTTTCTCCTGCCGACTTCCGCGGACACTCCGCGGCCTTCCGCCGAGGACCAGAAGACCGACCTCTCAATCCGTTGAAGCAGAAACCAATTCTGGACCGCCTCACATACACATCCACAGTTGTAAAAAAAGAAACGTAAGCGCGTATTGCATGACATGCAATACGCGTGGATTGAACCCACATTGCTCGACTGTGAGATTGTGTATCCACGGGGCCGCGTGAGGCGAAGCACGGCGATACGCGCACGCACAGAAAAACATGCAGGTAGGCGAACGAGCGGTCCACGAATCATTCAGTCAGACTCACTGGCGGGTAAAAAAGAATAACGACAATCAAACTCTGGCGCGCTCTTCGGCATGTCAAATGCGAGACGAACGCAAGTGTAGACGGACAGCACCTTTACCTCGAGAGGGCGCGATATCGGTGGTTGGCCTGGTTGTGGTGACCTCTTAGGGTCCTCGTGGGGTTAGGCCGGTGCCTTCGGGAGCCGCTCTCAGGCTCTCTCGGGACCCTCGGAGGATCTCTGGAGGTCGCCATCGGGTCCCTCTGGGCCTCGCAGGGCCTGCTGTGTAGATCTGAAGACCTTCTAGGGGTGACCTGGGGCCACCTTGGAGCGGCCCTGAGGCCGTCTTGAACTACACGCTGGGCCAAGTTAGGGGCCGGCTTGGCCCATCGTGGGGTCTCTTGGGGGCCTCTGGGGCCCTCTCGGAAGCGTCACGGGCACGTTTGCGAGGCACCTAGAGTTAAGAGATGGAAACTGCCAAGCATGTATCAAAACGCATGGAGGCAGGGGGTGAAGGAAGATTCGTGGATTCGCGTGTGGACGTACGCGGCGCAGCGTGCCCCAGCATGGCAGATGGAGAAAGCACCTGACATGGCGGACATGACAATCAGGAACAGGAGGTGTTACAAGGACATTGGGAGAGGTACCGATTAACAATTTACACCGCTGGCACATCCCTTTGGGATGTAGCCCGCAAGACCGTATCATGGGGTTCCTACAGAGACGCTTAACTATGGTACAGGGCTTTGATGCCAATGTACAAGGGGGAGATGCCGTGCTAGTAGCATTCAGGACGGCCAGAATGCACATGTGCAGGGAGACTCCCAATGCCATTGACGAGCCTCTCCTTCAAGAGGTGAGACTCTCACAGGCACGACGCGTATCACAGGGTGCAGGTTGGGTGTACGAGCAGATCCTTCAACGTCAATAGTGGCCCCGCCCATCCACAGTACTTCGCCGAGTTGAAAACGGGAGCAACGTAGCATTACCCCGCACACGTCAACGACGACTGTACCATCCTTGGTGCTCGGGCCACTGCGGCTGGGACCACTGCTCCCATTGCTGCTGCTGCTGGGACCACTGTTGCCTCTGGTGTGACGTCGCCGCCCGGGCCGCTTCGGCGCTCCGGCGAGCCTTCTCGTCCCTCGCAGCCGCCACAGCTCTTGCTGATGTGAGGGGCAACGATTGGGAAGGGGACTGGCACAGGAGGGGGAACATCGACCTGGAATCGGCGACACATCGCCGATAGATCGGCGACCGGCCCCTGGTAGTAAATCCCCACGTTCCCGGGCGGGGTGGGGCTATCGGGCCCCTATCGGCGATCAGTGGACGATTGGGGGTCGGTGCATCCCTCCTGTGCCTATCCCCCCCCTATCGCTGCTCCAGATGATTCCTCCGCCCTCGCAGCCGCCGAGCGGTCCTCCTCGACCTTCATGGCCGCCGCCGCCGCCGCCGGACGCACCTGCCTCTCCTCCTGCTCCGCCTCCTCGGCCGCCCAGCGGCCCCTCTCCGCCTCACTGGCCGCCTCTGCCGCCGGGCACGCCTCCTCGGCCGCCCGCGGGGCCTCTTCGGCCGCCAGGCGCCCTTCCTCTGCTGATCGCTCGGCTGCCGAACGCGCCAGCTCCTCCTCTTCCTCCGCGGCTGCTTTCTCGGCCGCCGAGCAGTCCTCCTCCGCCGGCCCGGCCGCCTCCGCTGCCAGGCGCGCCTCCGCCTGCTCCTGCGCAGCCTTCTCGGCCGCCAAGCGGTCCTCCTCCGCCGTCGCGGCTTCTTCTGCCGCCAGACGCGCCTCCTCCTCCTCCTCCCGCGCAGCCTCTTCGGCCGCCACGCGGTCAGCTTCCACCTGCCTGGCCGCCTCTGCGGCTAGACGCGCCTCTTCCTCCTCCCGCGCAGCATCTTCGGCCGCCACGCGATCAGCTTCCGCCCTCTTGGCCGCCTCTGCGGCTAGACGCGCCTCTTCCTCCTCCAGGTTAGCCTTTTCGGCCGCCAAGCGATCAGCTTCCGCCCTCTTGGCCGCATCTGCCGCTAGACGCGCCTCTTCCTCCTCCCGTTCAGCCTTCTCGGCCGCCAAGCGGTCAGCTTCCGCCCTCTTGGCCGCCTCTGCGGCTAGACGCGCCTCTTCCTCCTCCCGCGCAGCCTTTTCGGTCGCCAAGCGGTTAGCTTCCGCCCTCTTGGCCGCCTCTGCGGCTAGATGCGCCTCTTCCTCCTCCCGTTTAGCCTTCTCGGCCGCCAAGCGGTCATCTTCCGCCCTCTTGGCCGACGCTGCGGCTAGACGCGCCTCTTCCTCCTCCCGTTCAGCTTTTTCGGCCGCCACGCGGTCAGCTTCCGCCCTCTTGGCCGCCTCTGCGGCTAGACGCGCCCCTTCCTCCTCCCGCGCAGCCTTTTCGGTCGCCACTTCTGCCGCCAAGCTCCTGTCCCGCGCAGCCTTCTCGTCCGACAAGCTATCCTCTTCCGCTGCCTCTACGCCATCCTCCTCATCCGCCGCATCCTGCTGCTTCTGCAGTTGCTGTTCCTCCTCTTCGTCATCATCTTCCTGCTTGATCTTCTCTTCATCTTCCCCCTCCTCTTCCTCGTCCACCGTCTCGGCCTCGGTTCGGCAACTCTTTATACGGCAGATGGTGATGTCAAGCTGATCAGATCGGCGCTGGCAAATATGCTCGGAAACGTATACGCGCGTAGCTATGACACACATGCTCTCACGAAAGCAGGGGCAACGGCATCAATGACGAAGGAACTAAAATCCTGGCGAACTCGCACCAACGAGGCACAATGACTGAGAACAGACAGGGACGACGTCACAAGTATTCTTGAATGTGAGCATCCTCGAAGAGAGTCTGGCAAAGTGCGACTCGATCTGCATACGCAAGAGCTCAGTCAAGATCGGCACAACCCAAACAAGCTACATAACCTGCCAGTGTTTGACGACAAGACGTCCTTGTAGGGGGCGCCACGCTCTTGCGTGGGTAGACGTGCGCGGTGTCCGACCAGCCGAGAAAAGCAGTCGTTCTGTTTCAGAGAGCGCCTGCGAGAGCGTGACCTCAGCAATGACGAACGAACAACACGCACACACCCATACCCATATGAGGGACGTTGGGAGGAAGATTGGCTATGTCGGATCCTGGGGGGCGCTTCCTTTCGAGCGGGGACCCCCATCCGGCAACACGCACCCACAGCCCCCTCCGTCCCACCTATGGGTATGGGCGCGTGTTGTTCGTTCGTCAAGCAAATGAGCAGACATGTAGCAAGAGTCTGGAGCGGAATGGGAGACAGCAGAGGCGAACACGTAATGACATGCAGGGATGGCATCTAAATGAGGGCGATACGCAAAGCAAGCCATGGGCACGAAAGTCTGCCAAGGGTTAGCCTTCTGCACGCGACGTCGATGCGTGGCGGCACGGGCAGTAGATATGATTGCCTTTCGCCAGCGCTACAGTGACACATGGTCCTCAGTGTCCCCCTAGGGGTAGGGCTGCGACAGAGAGTGGTCCCTTTGCTGTTGCATCACCTGTGCTTAGGAGAGGGCGGTCAGCTCTGTATTACGCCCTTCTTTGCCGTCTCCGTTAGAAGACACAGCGGCAGCAAGAATCCGATACAGGGGTTCGTTAGGCAGCCGTTCCACAAGTGCTTTGCAGTCACCATGTAGAACTGCATTCACTATTGCGTCACGTGTGCAGTTGCTGTCCCTCCGTGCCTCAGCAAGTTCAAAACTGTCCTGCCGAGGTCCTAGGGGCCGAAACTGCTTACTGGAAAAGAACGGGCATGAGAGCGTCATGCGATCCAAACCTCCGACGACGTGATATGTTCCGTGTTGTTCGTCCTGGACAATTTTCTTAACGGTCCCAAGTGCCCTCGCACGACTCCCGGGAGCAGAAGATGGGCGTAGAGCGCTGGGGCTGAACAGTCACGACGACAAGCACGTTTCCTGATAGCCACAACACCGGGAACGTACGAAGCAAATGCTCGTCGAGCCACCGACCTGACCCCAGCGAGTCGCCGAAGTCCTAGCTTGGGGCCTGCAGCCCGATCAGCTAACAGACGCGGGGCGCTGACGCCGCCCTGTAGGAAGGGGGCCTTGACACGGGGCTGGCAGGAAAGGCTCTCCCGAGAAGGGTGTGCGAGCGCGTGCGAGCGGAAACGCTGCCCTTCGCTTAAGGGCATTGCAGTTCGCGTTGTGCTGTACTCTGCCGCTGGTCATGGTCGGAGTGGCGCCCGCATCACAGTGGCCCGTTCGGGAAAGTGTGTGTGTGTGTCTGTGTAAACGCAGTGGAGGAGGGGGATGAGGGGGGGAGAGAAGGGGAGAGGGAGTTTGCTCCCGCGATGTCAGCTGCGGGGAGTGCCTCGGCCAACACCGCGATGCCAGGACATCCTGGCCTCCAACACTTCAGGTGCAACGCGCTACGTCAGAGGGGAAGGGATAGGAGAGCTTGAGAGGCCTGAGGGGGGGAGGGCGCTTCGAGAGCATCCTCCGCCCCATCATCATTCTACATATGCTACTCCTGCTCGTGATCACGTGCTCCTCCTCGTCCTCGTCCCTGTCCTCCTCCTCCTCCTCATCCTCCTCCTCCTCCTCCTCCTCCTCCTCCTCCTCCTCTTCTTCTTCGTCCTCCTCCTCCTCCTCCTCCTCCTCCTCCTCCTCCTCCTCTTCTCCCTCCTCCTCCACCCCGATGATCCTCATCCGTCGGATGCTCGGTCCCCCAGGCGTCCCTGACTAGCCCCAGATGCAGGTTACCAGTTGGGGCGATCCCCCCGCAACAAGTGCTTCCCTCTAGCAAGGTCCTCCGATAACCTCGGAGGACTGTGTACTGGTGGCCGGCCTGCTCGCAGGCCTGGAAGCCGAGTCGGTGGCGCTCCGCCTCGAGCCCCCGCCCCCCTCGGTCCCCGACCTCCTCTCTGCAGCTTGCCATTCTGCACCTCGACCGGTAGGCCTGTGCTTTATCATGGGGTTCGACACTTGGCCGAAGGGTGGGGGGAAGAGGGGGGTCTGGGTCTGGGCCAGCGCTTCGTCGCTCTGCGTCTACCCGTCGCACATGCAGGCTGAGGAGAAGTGTCCTGGCCATTCGCCAGCATCAGCCGCCAAAGGCAGCCAAGATCTGGTATGTGGAGGGGGGGAGGCCAGGGGGGGCCGCGCCGATCGGAGAAACAGCACGTAAAACAACGGCGAGCTGCACCTCCATCTCTGCATGCCCCGCGTGCTCGCACCCACCGCTCTGATGCGAACAGTCTGGCCTCTTTCACGCGGGCGGCGTCCGTGCTTGCCGTGCGCAGCTCTCGGGGGGGCGTCGTGCGGCGGCAGCGCTACTTCACGCGGGCGCCTTCTTTGCATTATCAGACAGACGGCATGGTCCTCCTCCTCCTTCTCCTCCTCCTCCTCCTCCTCCCCCTCCTCCTCCTCTTCCTCCTCCTCCTCGATCTCCTCGTCCGCCCCCCAGCAGGGAAAGCGTGGCCTGCGCCCTCAGCGCCTGGGCCGCGGCGCGCTCCTGCAGCACCCGCTTGGCCGCCTGCACCGCAAGTCTGCTCTCCTCGGCCTTCCTCGCATCCCGCTCCTGGGGCGGGCGGTCTGGTGCCCCTCCACCCTCCTCCCACTCCCCTCCTCCCCCCTCCTCCCCCTCCTCCCCCTCCTCCCCCTCCCCTCCTCCCACCTCCTCCCCCTCCTCCCCCGTCCTCCCCCTTCTCCCACTCCCGCACTCCCCCCTCCTCCCCTACTCCCCCCTCCTCCCCCTCCCCTCCTCCCTCCCCGCTCCGTCCTCCTCCGCCCCTCTTCACTCCTCTCCCTCCATTCCTCTTCCCGCCAAATGCGTAACTTTTCCCTGTCGCAGCAGCAGGCGTGTCGTTCGAGCGGGCCGGGAGTTTCGCCTGCGAGCTTCTCCCAAATAACGGTATCGAAGCTTGAGATATCCAATGGCTACCAGGACGGAGCACCAGTGGTTCGAAACATGTGGTTCTCGCCTTGGCGCCCAGCAAGCTCGTCTTGAACCTGTCCACTGCATGCACGGGTAACGCACAAGTTGTTTTCACAAGTGGGCTCTTGTTTTGGCGCCGCGCACACTCGCCCCAACAAACGTTACCACGCAACATACCCAACCAATCTGCGACAAGTGGCCCGATCAATGTGTCAACGTGTCACAGGCACAAGGAACGAGAGCTGTTGTTAACTTACGATAGGGGCGCTTACGCGCTCCATGACCGACGGGACAGGTTTCAGAGCGAGGCAGCAACATCAAACAACATATGGCAGAGAAGCCACCGACGGACAGCGAGACCGAGGCGACCATTAATTACTTAGTTTGCCGCACGAAGGGAGGGCGAGACCCCCTTTTCTGGTCTGGGTACAACGTGACTCCGCTGGACCTCCCAAGAGCCCACGAACGTAGCGACAGACACGCAATGCAGTCCCTGGAGAGGGCGAGGTTCCACTCTCTGATCAGGGCGTGGCGTCGCTCCGCTGGACCTCCCCGGAGCCTGCGAAAGCGGCGACCGCCTCCGAGCTCTCAGCCTCCCATGGGGACGGCGAGGTCGCACTCTGATCTGGGCAGGCCCGCACTCCACTGGACCTCCCCGGAGCCCACAAAGGTGGCGAAATTGTCCTATTTCACAGTCCCCATGCGACGCCGATGTCCTGGTCTGATCTGCACAGGAGGAGGAGGAGGAGGAGGAGGAGGAGGAGGAGGAGGAGGAGGAGGAAGAGGAGCAGGAGCAGGAGGAGGAGGAGGAGGGGAGCGCTGCGATGGACCTCCCGGGAGCCGCTCGCAAGCCCAAGAGGACGGCGAGGTGCAACCTGGGCATGCGTGCGACACCCCTCCGCTGGAACTCCCAGCAGCTCACGAAAGTGGCCACATCTTCGAAGTTCGCAGTCCCAGGGGCACGCTTCGGACTTTATGCAATTTGCACCCGGAATTCAAATGGGCAACATATGCACAGGTGTATGGCGACTCCTTCTTCCCAAGTGGGACTATCGCCTGGGACTTCCTCAAACTCGTTAACGAGATATGTGAACTTGCGCAACGCTCGCACGGATAGAGACACACCCATGATGATCAGCCCCCTCCTCCTCCTCCTCCTCCTCCTCATCATCATCATCATCATCATCATCAACATCATCAACAACAACAACAACAACAACAACAACAACAACAACATCATCATCATCATCATCATCATCATCATCATCATCATCATCCCCATCAGCATCATCATCACCACCACCACCATCATCCTCATCCTCAGCATCATCACCACCACCACCTTCATCAGCAGCAGCATAAGTATCAACAGCATCATGATCATCAACATCAGCAGCATCAGCATCAGCATTATCATCATTATCATCATCATCATCAGCATCAGCATCATCATCATCATCATCATCATCATCATCATCATCATCAGCATCAGCATCAGCATCATCAGCATTAGCATCATCATAATCGTCATCATCACAATCACCATCACCACCACAATCAGCATCATGATCCTCATCCTCATCCTCATCATCATCTACAGCATCAACATGAACAGCAAAGTATCATCAGCCTCACCAAAACCACAACCACCATCATCATCATCAACATCATCAGTAGCACAATCATCATTATGGCCATCATCATCACCATCATAATCATCATCCTAGTGCTCAACATCAGCATCATCGTCATTCTCAGCATCATCCTCAGCAGCAGCAGCAAACATCATCATCATCAGCATCATCATCGTCATCGTCATCGTCAGCATCCGCATCATCATCCTCATCACCATCGCCATCAGCACCATCATCATCATCATCATCATCATCAGCAGCAGCAGCAGCATCATCATCAGCAGCAGCAGCAGTAGCATCACCACCGCCGTTATTGGCCCGAGCGGTGGCTCGTGATTGCATATCGGGTCTCGGCAGCCGCAGCGCCCGCTGTCGCAGGGCAGGCGCGTGGCGTTGCCAGCGGTGGAGCACGGCGAGAAGACCGCCCGCGCGCCAGAAAGGCCGGCAAGGGCGAGGCCAAAACTGACGCGGAGCGCGCCCTGCTGGCCAAGGACCAAATGGCGAGGCAGCGGGGGGCCTCGCACTGCTGGATGCGGGCATCGCGGCCCCTTCGGCAAGCGAGCAGCTGAGGCGGCGGCGCTGCACACAGCTGGGGGGCGAGGCGCACGAGGCGGTGCTGGCGGCGGGCGGCGCCGCGAGGGAGCTCCTTCCTGCTCACGGGGCACGAGAGGGCCGTGGAGCTCCGTGAGCTGGCGGACGAGCCCACGGAGCTGGGCCCGCGGGGCCGAGCGAGCGGAGGCGCAGAAGCCGGCTCGGCGGGAGCGGGGCGCTCGAGCAGCCGGGCCCGACGGCAGCGTCAAGGTGGGCCTCCGCCTCCTGGGACGCCGGGCCCGTCCCGAGGCGGCGTCGGAGGCCCTGTGGGCCGTCGAGAAGTGTCAGAATGTCGACAGAGAGAGGGCACCGAAAGCATCAACAACCCTAAGGAAATCCATGATGTTTGCCTCTCGGGGCACTCGTCTGGGGCCTCGAGCGCCCACTGAAGCTTGCCCGGGGCCGTGCTGGCGCAGCCTGGAAGCCTTCGGAGGACGTCCAGAAAGCATCTTCGGTGCGCAGGAATGTGTGATCCCGAGGTTGTCTTTGGGCGTTTTGGGCCGCGGTATCGGCGAGACGGGGCTTCCTGGATCGTGGTGAGCACGTCTGGGGGGGGGTTCTTGGCCCATCTTGGGCCCGTCCGGGGCGTCTCTGGGACTGTCTCGAGGGCGTCCGGAGGCCCGGGGCCCCCATGCGCTGTCGAGGCACCCCTCCGCGAGGCCCACACCCTGTAGAGTATATATCTGTATATATATATACATATATATATATATATATATATACATATATATATATATATAGATATAGATATAGATATACACACACATATACACATACATCGGAGATGGGGGGTGAGATCGCAAAGGAACGGAGACCCCCAACCCGGAAATCGTTTCGTTTCGTTCGTGTCGTGAATGCGGGCGAGGCGAAGCTGCGTGGGTGCGCGAGAGGAATTAACCCACCGTTGCTAGGGCGAAATCAAGACAAATGATTCTCCCCCACCCGCCCGCCCGTCCGGCGGTGGCTCGCGGTGTCCCGCGATGTCCCGTGGTGTCCCGTGTTTTCCGTGGTGTCCGCCGTTGCTAGGGCGAAGTCAAGACAAATGATTCTTCCCCGCGGCTCGCGGTGTCCCGCGGTGTCCCGTGGTGTCCCGTGGTGTCCCTTTGAGTGAGATCGATAGTGAGATCGATAGTGAGATCGATAGTGAGATCGATAGCGAGATCGATACTGAGATCGATGTGGTGCCTCGAGGTGCCCCGAGGTGTTCCGTGGTGTCCCAGAAAGTGAGACCGATAGTGAGATCGATAGTGAAATCGACAGGTGTCCCGTGGTGTCCCGTGGTGTCCCGTTGAGTCAGATCGATAGTGCGATCGATAGTGAGATCGATACTTTTATCGATGTGGTGCCCCGAGGTGGCCCGTGGTGGCCCGTGGTGTCCCAAAAAGAAAAATCGATAGTGAGATCGATAATGAGATCGACAAGTGTCCCGTGGTGTCCCGTGGTGTCCCGTTGAGTGAGATCGATAGTGAGATCGATAATGAGATCGATAGTGAAATCGATATGGTGTCCCGCGGTGTCCCGTGGTGTCCCGTGGAGTGAGATCGATAGTGAGATCGATCGTGAGACCGATAGTGAGATCGAGAGATGTCCCGCGGTGTCCCGTGGTGTCCCGTGGTGGCCCGTGGCGTCCCGTGGTGTCCCGTTGAGTGAGATCGATAGTGAGATCGATGGTGAGATCGGCAAATGTCCCGTGGTGTCCCGTGGTGTCCCGTGGTGTCCGGTGGAGTGAGATCGATAGTGAGATCGATCGTGAGACCGATTGTGAGATCGAGAGGTGTCCCGCGGCGTCCCGTGGTGGCCCGTGGTGGCCCGTGGTGTCCCGTCGAGTGAGATCGAAAGTGAGATCGATAGTGAGATCGACAAATGTCCCGTGGTGTCCCGTTGTGTCCCGTGGTGTCCTGTGGTGACCCGTGGTATCCCGTTGAGTGAGATCGATAGTGAGATCGATTGAGTCAGATGTTGGTTCCCTCCCCTCTCCACCCCCCACAACCTCCTTATCACCCGAAGGGTGGTCGTATATACATATATATATACCTATACAACCGCCCTGCGGGCGATAAGGGGGGTGGGGGGGATTGAGAGCAGATGCCCAGCCTGACTGACCTCCAGCCTGTCACCTTGATCTCATCTCTCTCTTTCTCTGTCTCTCTCTCTCTCTCTCTCTCTCTCTCTCTGTCTGGTGGATTGGATGAGATAAGCTGGATTGGATAAGAAAGCCCGCCGCAGGCGCCGAAAAAAATGACTTATGAAATTAGCGACTGCGTTAGCGCCGGGACGCCCAGGACATTCGGGACACCCGGGACACCGCCCGGCCCAACTGGGACACCTCCCGGCCACCTGCGGACGGGAAACGGACTTTCGCTCCTACTGACACCCGGGACACCCGGGACACCGCCCGGCCCAACTGGGACACCTCCCAGCCACCGGCGGACGGGAACGGACTTTCGCTCCTACTTCGGCCCAGCTACAGGAGGATCACGCGCAGCTTCGCCTCGCCCGCACGCACGACACGAAAACGAAACCGAAACCGATTTCCCGGTGGGGGGTCTCCATTTCACTGCGACCTCACCCCCCAACCTCCGAGATATATATATATATATATATATATATATACACATATATGTATAAATATATATATATAATATATATATATATATATATATATATGTGTGTGTGGGTGTGTCCACTGCGACACTGATGTTGTGAATAAACTGTTCGGGCCCATGCTGGCTCACCGAAGTGTAGCGATACCAATCCTCGCGCCAACATAAACCGAATACGGTTCGATCGTGAAGAGCGTGAGACTGGCGACATTTGGCAACAGACTCACCGTGGGCCGACACGGGGATCTGCACCTGAAGCGGCGGAGCTGCTGTGATGAATGCGGTCTTGGCTCCCCCCCGTCACCCCACCTTCTCCCGTGCCACCTTCCCCCGCGCGCACCACCTGTCCCCCATATCACCTCTCCTGTCCCCACCCTACGGTGGCAACTCATGGGAGCCTCCCATACCATCTTGTCAACTCTTAGGAATCGGCGCTAAATCGACGCTAGTCGAAGCTAAATCAGCGCTGATCGACGCTGACCGACGCTAAATCGGCGCTATCTCATCGACTCCCAGACGCTAATCGACGCTAGCCGACGCTAAAAACGGGATTGAAAGGGTACACCAGGCTCCCAGAATTTGCTACCGAACCACCCCCGACCTGTCTTCCCCTGCCTGTGCCTCAATTCGCTTCGCATGCGTCCCATCGCAGCCTGACCACAACTCGGACCCGAGACGCCGCCGATCAAAAAAAGTCCCGCCCCCCCGTGCAGACTATCGTGAAGAAGCCCAGGGACACACAAATAACTACACACACAAACCCCAGGATCCCCCACGTTTTCTCACACCTTCTGGGCTTCTGCCTCCCCCCCACACTTCCCCTTCTTTTCGCACATCTGTGCCTGGGAGTCGACGATTCATTGTGTCTGTGTGTTTTTGATCCCTCCTGGTATTGGGAGCTCGTCTCGGGGATCTTCTGAGCCGGGTCAATCCAGACCTGGGTCAGCAGGAAAGCAAAACCTGCATTGCAGGAAAAAAAACTGCAACGCAGGGCTTCGGAAACCCGGGTCAGCTAATATGCGCGGCCGCCTCACGGCCACGAGCGGCTCGCAAACCCGGGTCAGCCAGAGGGGGCTTTCGCAGGATCCTGCAGGATCCAGTGCCCTGGCTGACCCCCGTTTGCATTGACCCCCGTCTCAAGGCTCCCGATCGTCTGCCTGGTGCGCGGTGCCGGCAGAACGGCGGCCGCCCGAGGCGCGTGTCCTGCTTGACCCTGGCGACGGCGAGCATCAGCTCCTCCGCTCGCCGCATGGCCCTCTCCGCCCGGCTCTCCTGGGAGCAGGCGGGGCGGGGAGCAGCATCGGGGGGAGCGCCAGGGGGGATGGCGAAGACGGAATCTGCAGGGGCCCCGGGACACACAAACAAATACACACAGATAACAGGCTTCCCCATATCTTCCCGTATGTTCTGGGCTTGTGTCTCCCCCCCACTTCCCATATTTTCTCAAGAATCGACGATGAATTGTGTCTGTGTGTTTCTTTCCCTCCTGGGAATTGAAAGGGTACACCAGGCCCCCAGAAGTTGCTACCGAACCACCCCCGACCTGTCTTCACCCTGCCTGTGCCTCAATTCGCTTCGCGTGCGCCCCATCGCAGCCTGACCGCAACTCTCGGGGGGAACGAAAGGGGGGGATAGCGAGGGGTAGGGTAGAGAAGCAGCTCACGTAGCTGATCTTCCCAGCGCCTCCCGGCGCCGGGAGGCGCCCATGTATCGAGGAATACGCCTGGCGGCGGCGCCGAAACCAGCTGCATGCAGCAGGGTTCGTAACCCCCCTTTCCCTATCCCCCCCTTTCGTTCGGCCCGAAAGCAGGCGGGGCGGGGAGCAGTGGGACCAGGTGCGCTCTACTTGATCCCCCGACAGCATCAACACGGCTCGATGCAGGCCCCTCTAGCTGGCGCGCGTGCTCTTCACATCACGAGCCAGGTGAAAAGAGACCGCGAAGCAGGACGAGGTGTACTCTACGTACTCCAGATTTCGTAATAAAGGGAGGGGGGTCTCATTTCGGGGGGAGGGTCTCTTCCAGGCTATCTTGGAGGGCCTGGGGGGTCTGGGGACGATGTTTTGGAGGGTTCTCCCACGGGGGAGGTCTGAAACGGCTTGTCTTGGAGGGTCCAGACCCCCTCCCTTTTGTTACGAAACCTGGAGTACTCTACGTAAGTTGGTTCAGCAGTGTCAGCGGCAATTGCAACCAGGACAGACGAGGCAGGAGCTGCACTCTGTCCAACAGCAGCGCTCGTCATGGCGACCCGCTCGGGAAGCCGTCGCAGCGGCCGAAGCCGCCGCCTCGCGCTGGCGCGTCGAGGGTGCTGGATTGCAGAGCGGCACGGTGGGGCTGCTGGTGGGCAGCGGACCCCTGCCCCGTCACGTCAACGACCACCGTGTTTTTTTGTGTTGTTTGTTTTTGTTTGTTTTTGTTTGTGCTTTTTTGTATGTTTTTGTGTGTGTTTTGTTTGTTTGTTTGTTTTTTGTTGTTTTTTTGGTTGTTTGTTTCTTCCATCCCTCCAAGCCCCCCCAGCCCCGCTCCGCCCGCCCCCCCAGCGCGGTAGCGGACATAGGCGGCAGACTAACTGCGCGCTAGACGTAGCAGCAGCCAGAATTACCGTGGCAGAGGCGGCAGCACAAGCAGCAGAAGTGGCAACAGTAGCAGGAGCTGATTGGTTGTTTGGTAGCCTGTGCGCTCGCATTGCTATGTGTTCATTAGTTGTGATGTGGGCTGTCGGCTGAATGCTGTTTACTGCGTTAACTGTCTGCTGAGATTGGCATGGAGCACCTGCGGCTCCAAACTATTCTTACTATGCTGCTAACAAAAAAATCAAGTACACCGAATTCGTCCCTGCGAGGGTTGAATGAAAACAGACTTGGTCGGCGTTGAGCTCGTCGGCCTGGGATCCAGAAGCGTCGAGAAAAACAATACAAACCAAATAAGGTCAAGATCAATCCAACTGATCCTTGCGATTGCCTACAAGCTCGTATCGGATTGCTTGCCTGCCCGCCTTGTCGACTCTGCTTCTTGGAACCATCACAGAGATGGATATGATTTGATTGCGTTTGGTTTCTGTGTCGTGCTCGACACTTTCGGAACAGTGATATCCAGCCTGCCCTGGGACCTCGTTAGGACGGCGTTGAAGCCGCCCTCGTCCTCATCATGGTGCTCTTGATGCTCCTCCTCCCCACCTTGGCGCAGTGAGTCCCTTCACTGAGAATTCCGACTGGAAATGGGACAATTTACAAATAGAGCACTTTACCCCTGCTGCTGCTCCTCTTTCTCCTCATCCTGGTCCTCATCATCGCCGCACTCCCCCGTCCTCATGATGCGAGCACCCTTCTGCTCATCGGGGCTCCGCATTGTGCTGCTTGCTGCTGCTCGCCATCCTTCTCCTAAAGAAGTTTCAACCCTTCCACCTCAACATTCTCCCCCTGGAGACCCTCCTGCTGTTCTGATCCATCATCGTTATGATGATACTGTTCCATATGTTCTTCCACAGCTACTATGTTGTATCAACCTCCCACTCCTCAACCCAGCTGCTGATGAATCACCCCTTGCTGGAAGGGCAGCAGGAGCAGGAAGAGGAGGTGGAGTGTGGGGGATGAGAAGCAGCCATCTTTCGGCCAAAGCCCGATCCAAAGACCATGATGAGCGAAACCGCGATCCGCAGAATGCTCACAAGCGGGCTTTGCCACGCACGTGAGCGCTTGCCCGGAGGAGACGCTCAGGGCTGGCGGTGCCGCACGGGTGCGTAACACCCCACCCCCCTCCGCCGTGCCCCACGAGGAGAAGGAGGAGGAGGAGGAGTAGGAGGAGGAGGAGCAAGAGGAGGAGGACGCGGCGCCGGCCCGTGCCTGCGGCATTTACGCGGCCGTGGCGGCTTGGACAGAGCGCTTGCCGGAACACTGCAGGCCGCTCTTGTGCTCCCTCGTCCGAGGGGCATCGTTAGGGGGGTGCAAGCCCTTCGCCGCCTCACTCGCTGACTTTGCGCGAGTGGGCCCGCGAGGCTCCGACGTACTCTTGCAGCGCGGCGGGGGCGGCCGTTCTCCCCCCCTCCCCCCCCCTCCCCCCCCCGCGACGCGGCCGCTGTGGGCGGTGGGGGCGGCGCCTGTGGCCGCCCAAGGTTGCACGGGTGAGACTCGTCTTGATCGATCGGCGCAGCGGGACAACAGGAAAATCGGCTCACGGCTCGTGCCCCGCGCACTCACAGCGCCAAGATCTGGTGCTCCGGGTAGTGTCGGGCCAGGCCCGCGGGGACCCTGAGCAACCCGCCGTCTCCCAGAAGCGCCACGGGCAGCGCCGCGGGTGTCGCGGCAAGCGGGGGGAGCTCGCCCCCCAGGAACAGGCCCTCCTCGGACAGCGCGCGCGGCGTCTCCGGCAGCGACGGGGGCGCCTCGGGCGCCTGTGGGATGCAGAGCGCCTGCGCGCCGCCCTCGGGCGGCCCGTCGGCCAGGCGAGCCGCCGCCTGAAGCACCACGGGCAGCGCCGCGGGTGTGACGGCGAGCGGGGGGAGCTCGCCCCCCAGGAACAGGCCCTCGGACAGCGCGCGCGGCGTCTCCGGCAGCGACGGGGGCGCCTCGGGCGCCTGCGGGATGCAGAGCTGCCCCTTGGGCGGCCCGTCGGCCAGGCGAGCCACCGCCTGCGGGCCGCCCCCGAGCGGCTCGTCGGCCAACGTGCAGGTCGCCGGCGCCTTCTGGGGGCCGGGCGCGGGCGGGCCGGCCTGGCAGGGCTGCGGCGCCTGCCTCGCCGCCCGCAGCCGGCGCCTGCGCCACTGCACCAGCACCACGGCAGGGAACCCGCACCCGAGGCAGCACAGCAGCAGGGCGGCGGCGGCGGCGGCGAGGGGCAGGGGGGTGGCCTGCGACTTGTCCGACGCCGCAGGGGCCGGGGTGGCGCCGAGATCGCTGGCGACGGTCGCCGTGATCGACTGCACGGAGACCGAGTATACGCCCTCCCCGACCACTGCGTCGATGTTCGCCTGCAGCAGGGCAGTGAAGGAACCGAGGTCCACGTCGTTCAAGGACATCCTCGCGGCGGCGGCGGCGGGAACTCCAGCGGCGGCATCGGCTGGCACGCCGATGCTATACTCCGCCATGAGGGTTCCCGCAGAGAGTCTGCGCACGGGCTCGGGCTCGCCGGGCTCTCCGAACCAGGCGGACACGTAGTTCGGCGGCATGCGCGCCACCTGGGCGACGGCGAGGCCCACCGCGCTCAGCACCTTCTCCGCGTGGGGGCCGTTCCGGACAGCGTCTGGGTCCGCAAGCGACAGCGCCATCGACCCGAATACTCGAGACGACGTCTGGGCGTTCGGTGGGACGCTCCCGGAGGTGCGCATGGTCGTGGACGTGGCCGTGCTCCTCGTGGTGCTGCCCCTCGTGTTCATCGTCCAGTAGCTCGACGTGCTGCTCTCTGTCGCGCCGGCCTCGGACGTGCGGGTCAGGGGGCTGCTCCCTGTCGTGCTGGTCTGGGTGGTCGAGGTCAAGCTAGTGGTGCTCGTCTGGCTGGTGCTGGTCAGGGTGCTGCTCTCTGTCGCGCCGGCCTCGGACGTGCGGGTCAGGGGGCTGCTCCCTGTCGTGCTGGTCTGGGTGGTCGAGGTCAAGCTAGTGGTGCTCGTCTGGCTGGTGCTGGTCAGGGTGCTGCTCTCTGTCGCGCCGGCCTCGGACGTGCGGGTCAGGGGGCTGCTCCCTGTCGTGCTGGTCTGGGTGGTCGAGGTCAAGCTAGTGGTGCTCGTCTGGCTGGTGCTGGTCAGGGTGCTGCTCTCTGTCGCGCCGGCCTCGGACGTGCGGGTCAGGGGGCTGCTCCCTGTCGTGCTGGTCTGGGTGGTCGAGGTCAAGCTAGTGGTGCTCGTCTGGCTGGTGCTGGTCAGGGTGCTGCTCTCTGTCGCGCCGGCCTCGGACGTGCGGGTCAGGGGGCTGCTCCCTGTCATGCTGGTCTGGGTGGTCGAGGTCAAGCTAGTGGTGCTCGTCTGGCTGGTGCTGGTCAGGGTGCTGCTCTCTGTCGCGCCGGCCTCGGACGTGCGGGTCAGGGGGCTGCTCCCTGTCGTGCTGGTCTGGGTGGTCGAGGCCAAGCTAGTGGTGCTCGTCTGGCTGGTGCTGGTCAGGGTGCTGCTCTCTGTCGCGCCGGCCTCGGACGTGCGGGTCAGGGGGCTGCTCCCTGTCATGCTGGTCTGGGTGGTCGAGGTCAAGCTAGTGGTGCTCGTCTGGCTGGTGCTGGTCAGGATGATCGTGCTGCTCCCTGTCGCCTCCGTCACGCTGGCCCGGGAGGTCGAAGTCGACGTGGTGGTGGATGTCTGGGTGGTGCTTGTGAGACTGGTGGTGCTTGTCTGGCTTGTGGTTGTGAGCGTGGTGGTTGTGCTGGAGGTGGCGATGGCGTTGTCCAGACCGGCTGACCGGCTCAGGCCTGGCCCGGCGGCCGCCCAAGCCTCCGCCGCGCCGGCCTCGGCCCTGCGCGCCGCCACGCCGGCAGTCTGCCATGGGGCCGCAGTGGCGAAGGCGGTGCTGCAGAAGACCGCAAGCGCGCGTCGTCGGATCATGCGGGCATGGAGGCTCGCGTTAGGGCGACGAGATCTATACATATCCACTGCTCCTGGCCAGGCCCATCCTGGGCCCAGGAGCTGTGTATATGCCTCCCTGGCCAGGCCAGGAGGGCGTATACACCGCTCCTGGGCCCAGGATTGGCCTGGCCAGGAGCAGTGGATATGCATAGATCTCGTCGCCCTATCGCGCGCGCGCGCCCCCGGGCTCGGCCAGCAGAGCCCCGCAGCGCAGGTGGCTTGAGCCAAAGTGCTTCCGGAGCGCGGGGGACGAGGAGCAGCAGCAGCAACAGGATCGGGGGGACGAAAGACTCGGGTACGGGGGACTCGGGCTGGCCTGACGGGGCCATCATGAAAATGACGAGGCCCAATCCGAAATTTGACGCGAGCTCCCGCTGCAAACATCCCACGGAAACCGGACCGTCACAATCCAGGACGCGCTCGTCAAAAAGATTAGGCCAAACCCGAGGTCCAGCTCACTCGAGTCTTACGTTTCCCCGACAGGAGTCCGGCGAAAAGGAATTACAGGAGGATGAGGAGCGTGACGAGCCGCAACAGCAGCGTGCGGCTGAGCAGGAGAAGGGGGATGGCACGAAGGCCAGCAGCAGCAGAACTTGAAGGCGGTTGACGATGAGCACAAGGAGGATGCGGAGAGCAGGGGGCCGCAACACCAGCATACGGCACAGCAGGGGAACAAGGAGGGGACGTATAACAGTTGTCCGTATGTGGAGGAGTTGCAAGTGTTTCCCTCTGTGAAGGGGAGCTTTCAAAGATATACCCTCTGAGGGGGGATAACTATAAGTAGATGGTGGCATTTCGTTTTGTATATGCAGGTATGGCTCCATGATCTAAAAAAGTGTCACGTCTAGTGCGCAGTTTGTGAAATCTCATCCGCCTGCTTACACGCTGTGGGCGTGTGAGGATACCAGGAGCTGCTCTGCAATACGGTCGGGAATTGTTCCTCAGCGTGTCGACGCGGCGACGCGGCGACACGCTATGCCCTGCAGGCGTGTCGCTCCGCCTCGCGGAACGGGAAGATGGAAAAAGCTCGGCACGTGGACGCCTGGGGACCGCGAAGTGGATAGCGCGGCGCGCCGAAGCGCAGTGGGCCAGAACCTTCGACGCGACCAAAGTCGTGACCGTGCCCCCTGCTCCCGAGGTCACGGTCCCTTGCAAAACACTGTGAGTCTTCGCTCCCGAGGCCACGATGTGTATCCGCGTCCCGAGCTCCCAGCACGGCCCGGGCAGGAAACCAGGGCAACCGACATGGCCCGAGACTTCTCCGAGACAGAAGAAGAGGGCCCCAAGGCGGCCCAAGATCCCCTCTCAGAAGGCCCGAAGAGCCCTAAGAGGACCATGCTCATCTTCATCAATATCATCATCATCATCATCATCATCATCATCATCATCATCATCATCATCATCATCATCATCATCATCATCATCAGCATCAGCATCGTCATCATCATCATCATCATCATCACCACCATCACCATCATCATCACCATCATCACCATCGTCACCATCATCTTCCGCATCAGCATCCACACCATTATCGTCAGCATCATCATCGTCATCACCACTGTCGTAAGCATCACCATCATCATCCTCACCGCCATCATCATCATCATCATCATCATCATCATCATCATCATCATCATCACCATCACCATCACCATCATCACCACCATCATCATCGTCATCGCCATCACATCACCATCCTCATTACCATCACCATCACCATCAACATCATCATCTGGGGAAACCGAAAGGTACCGATACCGCTGCTCCCCATACCTCTCCGCGGGTGTGTTCTGACGAAAATTCGAAGCGAATCCGGCGGTGCCGGCGAGGGTCTCCCAGATGACCCAATAAGGCGAAAACGAGAACTGGCAGCGGATGATCCTCCTGCTCCTCCTCTTCCTCCTCCTCCTCATCATCGTCATCACCAGCATCACTATTATTGCTTCTTACCATCACCAGCATCCTCATCATCATCATTAGCATCAACCACCATCATCATCCTCTCCATCATCATCAGCATCACAATCATATCATGACGTTCGTCGTTTCGGCGCCGAGAGGGGTCCCGCTGGCCGCATCATAGATTCATGTATACGCTGACTACCCCGGCAACCACCCTCAATCTAGATTTGGCAACGCGCCTGACTCACATAGGATTCTCAACTTGCTCGGCCCAACTTCTAATGCAATGACTGCAGCTGTGAATGAAGATGCGGTGATTGGTACACACACAGTTTGCTGCTAGAAAGGTACACTTCCCAACCAAATTCCGCCTTTTATGGCCCATGCTTCCGCGGCTTTGTTCCCGCAGCACCCTCCCCTCCGTCCGCCTGCAAAAAAAAACGTCACGCCGTACATCCCGCAAGTGTTGTGGAAAAGACAAATGCGTAACCCATGAGCGTTGGATGTCCATCGTGCGGTTCGCAAAATCCTCCGCAAGAATGTTTTGCCCCCCAGGAAAATCACTTCATTGGGTCAGCTGAGAGCGTCGCACGTAACCACCCAGCCTCTAAGATGCCCAGCATGCTCCGCGTGATGCGTGTGAACACTGGCCGCAAATACGGCGCGTGGAATCGCACATGGCCGCAGACCATATCTTTCAACGGCTGGCAATCCACGATGACCACGAAATGTCCACAAGCAGTCTCCCACTCAGCAGCCTGGGGCTTTGCATCCGGAGGGGTCGTCTCCTCAATCTGGGCTCGGTTTGGATCTCGGGCCAGCGCTGGCTGCCGTTTCGTCGTCTCCTCGATTCGGCCAGCCTTACCCGGCAAGAGTGGCTGATCCCATAGTTCGCAGGTAGTGTCGATGAAGTGCCGCCCGTGTGTCTTCCAGTCCGCCATGCTGCTGCAACTGTCAATCATAGTATTCCAACCGTGCCTGTACACGAGTACGAACGCACCGTCCCGAAAAGTTCTCGCCCCAAGAAACATTTGCGCGCGACGTCCCCGCTTCCACGAAACGTAACGAACATCCCTGAACGAATACCACCATGCGCGGTCCCCGGCAGACCGGATGGCGCAGGTCGGTGAGCACTTTTCCCTGTCACTCCAAGTTGCCCTGAAAACGTTCCGCAATACATAATGGTGGGCAAACTGGATTGACCACGTGGTGGCCCAGATCAAAAAGCGGATGTTCGCACGATTGTTCTAGCCCCGCCGTGCTTCCTGTGGCGCGCGTTTCATTTTCAACACCTTCTGGCTCAACCGAGCTCCCAGCGCCTCAATGCCAACGCGACTATCCAAGAACTCGAACCGAATACGGCTGAGATGCTTAAGAATTCGGCCCACGCCTGCATCTTGGCGCGAATGCCGGCCGGACCGAAAAACGCTCTGGAATGAGCCCACAGCTTCCGTTCAGCTTTTGATAGGACGCACTGCTGGATCGCCGCCGAACTCTCCGCTCCATCCGACAAGGAACCCGAGCATTCCACGCTGCCCACTCGTTCATGTCGCAAAATTGCGCCAAAAAAGGACGACACTGATATAGAGGATTCTCGTCCTGCCGCGGATCCTCCCCAGCGCGGGGCTATGGAGTAGGCTCCCACTGGGAACTGTGCAAGTAAATGACGTCGCACAGCTCCTGGGTTATAACAGCGATGTGCTCGGGGCAGGTAGCAATGGCCCATATGTTGTCGGCGCGCACCGCACGGTTGCATATCCCGTCGCTCTCCAATGTCTCGAAACCCTTGACGCTGACCGCCCAAGCGCCAACCAGCTGTTCGAGCAACGATTCAAGGAACCACCGCGACACGTCAGGTGTCTGGATTCTGAGCTACCCCCCAACCCTGGCGAAGCCGAATGGGGCTGCGTTCCCGGCGGCGTCGACGGCGACATTGCCCGTTACGGGGCTCACCTCCCGCATCACTGCCCGATAAGCTGATATGGCATACCTCCTTACTCAAGTCCTACTGCCATCGCATCGCGGTCGACGCCGTCGAAGAAAATGGAGATGTCCTGCCCAGCAACCACAATCGGAAGTCCCCACACATGTGCGTCTTCCAATATGGCCCTTCACATTCCGTTGACGTCATCCACGCCAAGGCCCGGTTGAAATCCGCGCGAACGCACCGAACAAGATGGGACAGACTGACGGCACATCTCCTTCAGCACCCTGGCATACCAAGTGGAGAATACGCTAAGCAGGCCGACCCATCGCATGAGATGAAGCGCCGCAGCTGGAACCAGCATGGGAAAATGCCTACGAAGCTAATCATATTCCAAGACCTCGGGTCTGAGCTGAAATGGTCGTGGAATCAATCTCGGGAGAGCTTCCAAATCCATGCGACGAGCGAGCACGGTAAAACTTTGAACATTTCAGCTGCACGCTGGTCTACGCCCCCGCTCTTACCCCTCCGCACGCTGCCCCTGCCCTCCAACACGTCGGAAAGATCGATGTCGGGCTTCTGCCAGCCCTCCGGCGGCTTCCATCCCCATGGAGTGCGAGAGCGACGGGAGACGGAGATGATGCACCTGCCCATTGTTCTCCCGATTCCGGAACCGCTCCTCCCCAAAACGACGCCCGCCCTCAAGCCGCAACGCCGTGTCTGGGGCGTGTACTCCACCCACCTGCACGGTCAGCGGCATGGGCCTTCGCGCTGTCCCAATTCCGCCCCATGCATGCACGCTCTCCGTCGTCTTCTACATCTGCGAGGGCGTCGCACCGCATGCCGATGATCTTCAGGAGTCCCCCGAATCGGGGCGCGTCGAGCACTTTTCAGATCGGCGCTCACCGCGGCTTTGCCCTGCCATCTACGATCGCGGACGGCAGTATGTCCCGCAGCCATGGCAGCTTCCACTGCGACGCCCTGGACATGCCCAAGTAAAGCCGCACCCTCGTTGAACATATTTGACATGCACCTCCTCTGGAAATCCTCGAGACCAGCGCCCCCCAACGGCGCCATCCAATAAGAGATGTTGGCCGGACTTCTGGGAGGTGCGCGCGGCGAAGAAAGCGAAGCCGGCCGGTAACGCGTCGGCGATTGGCCTTCTTGAAGCACGGCAGGCCCCCGCAACCGAACTCCACCTGTCCCTCGGCGCCGCCAGACAGACATGGGAAGTCGATCTGCGCCCGGCGCTTAGCAGCCCTCTTGCGACCGCGCGCCAACAGCTGTTTCCTGAGTGAATCTCCATCGAGTCGGCTCTCCACGCATAGCGGCGGGCTGAAGGCGCCCACGGCCCGCGCGCGGAGCGCACGCAACCACCTGGCCACCCAGTCCTGCGCGCGCGG